TGTGGCACTAGCTGAACGAAAACCAACGCGCACACTCGTGAGTTTCTTTTGACTAAACAGTACGCGGCTAACGCTCTGACATCTGTCCTCTGACTGAGAGTCCGACAGACCGTGTCACCAGTCACGGGAACTGACATGCGACAACCGCGTGTGTGAGAGCTACCGAGTACCGTACGCCTACGGGGTAGGCATCGTCAATAAGGCTTGATTGATCCCAGCTCGAGCACCGCCAGCACCGCCAAGAGACCAATGCCGCCGTGCGCAGGTCTCAGATTGACCCCGCTCTGGTGCAAACCCTCCAGACTCTCCGCGATGCTGCGGCCACAGAGGTGCCCCGCAACCAGGAGCACGCAGGTCGCCGCAAGCACGCAAACGGCCACGAGGAGGTATCCGGCCAACCCGAAGGAGAGGCCGGCCAGTGTGCGGAGGGCCAGCGGTAGCGCCAAGTGCGCCGCTTGCGGCAAGCTGGCAAACTTTTTGACGAGCGGCATGCGCCGTTCTCCCGCTTGCTCGGAGAATGCAGAGAGCGCCATCAGACCAAAGCATAGTCCGGCTCCCACATGCAGCGGAATGGCAGCCAACCAACTTGGCTTCGCGATGGACGCTACCGCCGCCGCCACTCCATTGCATGCACCCGCGGATCCAACGGCTCGGCCTTCGATTGCAGTCCCGCTGAGGGCGAGGGCCATTCCCAGCACGAGCGATGCCGCACACCGGGGCAGAGCGGCGAGGAGCGTGACGATCCATAATGTTGGAGAGTCCAAGCCAAAGAGAAGGTTGCTGCTCGCCCCCTTGGCGGCTCCGGCGACGGACTCTGCGCTCCCTGCGGGCATCCAAAAGTAGCCCACGACGATGAGGCCGACAGTGACGGCAGCTATCACGCCTGCCTTCGCGAGCTCTTTCTTGCTCACCTTTTTGGTCCCGCCTGAAACGAGGGGCACCTCGAGCGTGGGTTTGCTGTGGAAAGGGTTGGAGAACTTGGGCATCGATGTTGTGCTCAGGCTCGCTGCTCCGCGCGCCCGACGACCGCAAGGCAAACTCGCGCGTCCGTTCGTTCGGCTGTATCGGCAATAAATGCGGTTTTTGCAAGCGTGATTCTTTTTCCCTGTGAAAATGTGGGCCAAATCTCTCTCTCACACACACAATGTATGTAGGATATCCTACATACATTTGTGTGTCTGCTCGAGCCTCTGCTTGGTCCCGTGGTGCGTGGTCGGTCGGCCCAATCTTCTTGGAGAGAGAGAGATTTTTAGCAATACCAAACAACTCTAGTTGTCTTCTTGGTCCCGTGGTCGGCCCATCTTCTCTCCCCGGCTTTATGCGGGAGAGACTTCCGCGTCGTTTACGCGGCGGTAGGTAGGTGATCTGTGATCTGTGAGGGTCCGCCCGCACGAGCGAGGCGGTGCCCGGTCCCCGGTCGGTGGCGCCGGTGCCGAACGAACCTGTCTGTCGGACCTTAAGAAGCATGCTCTATGTGTGAGCTCGAGTGAGCTCCACCTCTCTTCTCTGGTCTGAGGTGCGAACCCTTTCGGCGCTGGCCGGCTCATTAGAATGAGGGTTCCAAGCGAACCAGTTTAGACCATGTTTAGACCCAGTTTAGACCACGGCTGAACACGAACCAGATTAGTCCTGTTTACGATAAACTGGGTCTAAACAGGGCTCGGCCTGGGTGGGGGACCCCATTAGCCATACCAGGTTTAGCCCGGTTTAGGGCGCCCCTAGAGCTCCGCCGTCGGTCGCGGCCGCGCTGGCTGCGGAAGCGGCAGCGTGCAGCCGCCATCCTCTGCCTCGGGCCGGACAGCACACCTGGCACACTTGCACCGCGCAACAACAGCCTCGCCGGTCAGGCGCACGGTGTTAGGGCGCGACGTCGGGCGCGGCGACAGACCAGCTGGCGGCGCCTGCGCCTGGCAAGAAGCGGAAGCGCGTGGATTTCAACCCGGCCGAAAGGTGCGCTCGCTAGTAGAAGTGGTGTTGGGTTGAGCAGTGGTACTCACTGCCCCTCACCAAATGCTTGCAGGCGATGTTCCTGGCCTCGCTCCCGACGTACCGCGCGAAAGATGAGGGGACGCGCTGGGGCTTCTGCAAGCAGATCTTCGACACCCACGGCGAAGCTGTCGGAAGAGCCGCCGGCGTGGACCCTCGAGACGGTCAAGATTGCCATGCACAACCTCGTCCTCGACCAGCGCGAGAAGAAGCAAGGCCGCTGACGCTTGCGCGTGCCGCGCTGAGAGCCGCGTCTCTCTCAGAGCAGGGGAGCTAGGCGGGGGGGAGGTGCGCGCTACGCGGGGGGGAGGGGGGGAGGAACCCCATTAGCCATACCAGGTTTAGACCCAGTTTATCGTAAACAGGACTAATCTGGTTCGTGTTTAGCAGTGGTCTAAACTGGTCTAAACTGGTTCGCTTGGAACCCTCCTATTAGAATAGCTGCCCTCTCGTCTTTCGCGTGCAGTTTTTCTTTTTTGACAATGGCAGCGGCGGCAGCGGCGGCCGCCTCTGCCTCGGCCGCCTCGGCGGCGGACGATGCGGCGGCCGATAAGTCGGCCAACACGGCCCGGCTGCGCTTCCTCCTGCAGAGTGCTCACGCGCACGCGTCGACGGCGCCGGAGCTCTCTCGGCATCTCGTGCTCGAGCTGCTGCGGCTCGCGCGAGGTGGCAAACATGAAGGCTACCGCAGCGGCTCCACCAGCGGCTCTGCGGCGACTGCGGCTCAATCCTCGGCCCTGGCGTCAACCCGCATGCCGCTGTGCCGCTCCACGCCCGCCCAAGCCGGGCGGCGCGGCAGGCCCCCCCCTGCACGTTGCAGGTGGCTTGGTGGGGCCGATCCAAACG